GAGAAATTAGAATAGAATAGACTAGAACAGAATAGAAATAGGATAAATCAGAATAGAATAGAATAGAGAAATTAGAATAGAATAAGAATAACTTTGTCACTTTGAATGTCCACTAATTGGCATACGTTAAAAATGAAATTTCATTGCATATAGCTCTCAAAGGGTCACTACCTCCAATATTACACTACATAAACATGACAAGATAGATAAATAAGTACAAAATTATGCATATACCCACATATATTATATGACACACAGAAACAACACAGTCTAGTTATAAATGTTTATGGCGTGAAAAACAAATCTTGTGAGTTTACCAGATGGATGGCATGAGGAGCAAACGTGTTATAGAATCTGGTAGTCCTGCTACAAATACTACTAAAAAAAATAGCAGAAATGTGGGAACTAAATGCAGTCCACCCGAAGCATTTCCCTGAGGAAAGATGCAAGAGATCCTCACGTGCTGCACCAAGGGAGAGAACAGTCAAACCTGCCTCTGTTTAGCACAGAGGGGCCAACAAACCATCTTGATTGAGGTCTAAAACTCCTTTTCGCATCCCAGCATCAGCTGCCTCTCGAGCCTGCAATGACTGACTTTAATGTTGCCACAGAAACGGGCTTTGCAGCTGATGCGCCTGTTAGAAGAGTAAGACTTTCAAGCTAGACTGGTAAAAGGCTGCTTCAGAGGCACCCCTAAAATACACCCCCCTTTTTTTTGCATATCTGGTCTTACTAAGATCTTGGGTGAGATTTCAGCCATCTACAAAGATTTTTGAGGAGCCAGAGGTGGTATATTCAGCAGGTTCTGACCAGTTCTGGAGAACCGGTAGCGGAAATTTTGAGTAGTTCAGAGAACCGGCCAATCCCACCTCTGACTGGCCCCGCCCCCATCTATTCTCCACCTCCTGAGTCCCAGCTGATTGGCTGGGTCTTCTTTGGTTGCCCTGCAGAGGAGAACGGAGCTGGAAAGCAGGTTAGTGGGGTGGGGAGGAATGGGGATTTTGCAATATCTGTCCCTGCCACGCCCACCAAACCATGTCCACGGAACCAGTAGTAAAAATATTTACCGCTGATCCCAACCATCTGAATCTCCTCGGGGGTTCTGAACACGGCAGAATGGAAGGGGCCCTGGAGGTCATCTATACAGGGCAGGAGTCCATCACAACACCAGGGTTCCAGGATGCTTCTTACGACAGCAAAAACCCTTCCGCTTGCAGAAGACAAAAAAAAACAAAACCCGAAGACCCACTATATTCCACTCACCTCATTGACAATGTAGTCCAGGAGCTCAAAGATGGCCATAGGTGGTCGGCTGTCTGAACCGTAGGCTGAAAAAATGACAACACGTTGGCAAAATTAATTTCACTCTTTGGCGTATAGCTTATTTTTTTCACTCTTTTCTGATGAGACTTAACCGTGTCCAAAACTCGTTCAGTGGCATGCCTTGAAATTTGTTTTAAGAAATGCTGATGAAGAGAGACAGCGTAGGTTTTGTCAACGAATGTTTGCTAAAAACAAAAATGTTTTTTTCCAAACTCAACAACCTTAAGACGTGTGGACTTCAACCCCCAGAGTTCTCCCAGCCAGCATACATAGACCAAATTTGGTGTAGTGATTAAGGTGCTGGCCTAGACTTTTGAGTTCTCATCCCACCTTAGGCATAAAAGCCATCTGGGAGGCTCTGAGGTCAGTGCTTCTCTTTTAGTTCAACCCACCTCACCGGCTTACCAGGAGAGGGAAGGTGTGTTGGATATGTTTGCCAGTTTGAACTATTTATAAAATGAATGAACGAATGGAGGAAGGAAGGAAAAGAAAGGAAAAGGAAAGGAAGGAAGGCATGTGTCCGCGTTTCAGCAACCCTCCACTCCAACCAATAACTCCGAGACAGACATCGCTCAAAAATTCTCTTTTATTTGGATAGTAACTGGCACAACTGGGGGGATCCCGAATCTGAAAATCCCAGGCTTCCTTGCAATAATCAAAACCACAAATCCAAACCCCTACACCCGCCATCCCATCCCATGCCCCAATCATCGTCCGTCCCAACTGAAGACTTCTCTTCACATATGCACACAATAGCGTGACCTCGAACGACAAAACGAATGTTGTTTTGTCCAACTACATATACCCCGAGAACTTCCACCCTCCCACTTTCCAAGGCTCAAAATGGCGCAGCGCGGTTTCAATATGGCTTCCAAAACTCACAGCGTGCTGAGAGGAGAATTCTGGGAATTGAAGTCAACGTATCTTCAACTAGCCAAATTTGAAAATCCCTGGCCTAGACTGTCAGGAAGTCTTGGCCCTGTAACCAAGCAGGGACTGCCCAAATGAAAGCAAAGCCCTGGTGGAAGCAGGTATGGCCAGTGGGAAGAAACGGCCTCTTCTCTGAAGGTGCTTCTGCAGATCTGAAGACCAAGCTCCTAGGCCCAGCCCATGCTGGAAGGATGGGGTTGCTCTGGCACAGCCTGTGCCCAACCATCCCAACACATTCACACCCACTGACTTCCCTAAAAAAAACCAACACCCAGCCACAACTGGATTCGCTTCTCCAAGGAGTGGTCCGTTTTCAGCCCCCCCAAGGTGGCACTGCCAGCTGGCGCCCTCTTACCACTCATGGGCCGCCCTGGCATCCTCTGCCGGGGAGACGTCTCCGAGACAGGATAGTCAGCCCCAACGGGACAGCCGAACATCAGCTCCAGCTCCTTGGTATCGGGCGGAGGGATGGGGTACCTGCCGATGGCCATCTCGACCAGGGAGAGCCCCATGCTCCAGATGTCCGACTGCACCGAGTAGTGAGTCCCTTGCAGTCTCTCCGGCTGGGGGGGATGGACGCAAAGTCAGAACGAGTCACAAGGGTGGAAAAAACATGGACAGTACAGCAGCAAAAGCCCGTCCGGTCACAGAATGGGAAGGGTGACGGAGGAGGAGAAATCGATAATGCGAAACTATTCGTGGTGTGGAGAACAACATCTTGGTCCTCAACACCAATAAGACCAAGGAGCTTATAGCGGATGATATAGAAGGAACAGATCAGACCTCCAGCACTTGCTTATCCATGGAGACCGAGTGGAAAAAGTGGCCAGTTTTAAGTTTCTGGGTGTTACCCTAAAAGAGGACCTGACCTGGGGTACCCACATTGCAGCCGTGGTCAAAAGGGCCCAGCAGAGATTAGACTACCTGAGACTTCTCAGAAAACAACAACTGAATGAAAAACTGCTGGTGACCTTCTACCGCTGCACCAGAGAGAGTATCTTAACTTACTGCACCTCTGTATGGTTTGCCAATTGCACGGGGGCAGATAGGAAAGCACTCCAGAGGGTGAACATCATTGCCCAGAGGATCATGGGTTGCCCTCTCCCCTCTTTGGAAGAGCTTTATAGTTCCTGCTGCCTTAAGAAAGTTCAAAACACCCTCAAAGATCCATCTCATCCTGGGCATCCCCTTTTTTTGAACTATTACCACCTGGCAGACAGTACAGGACAATAAAAACAAGGACAAATAGGCTGAAAAACAGCTTCTGTCCCAGGGCAGGAGCTCTTTTGAATTCTGCTGTATAGTGCAGTGTTGGTGTGGTGTCGGGGGTTTTCAATTCAATGTGTGGAGGATGAAGGATGTGTGTTTGTGTTTATTTTCATGGTCATGATGTACACAGAAGATGGTGTTTGCTTTCGTTGTACGAGGTGCAATGACAATAAACTAAAACTAAACTAAACTAAATGAGAGGGCACCCTTAGGTTGCACACTCCTGTGCAAAACACTTGTGGCACTTTGCAGGCAAGAAAACACTCCACTCAACAAGAGATTGATCACCACACTGGTCAGCTGTTATCGTGTCTGAATTCGACAGCAGCTACTGGTACTTTATGGCCTGCACTTACCGACATGTAAGAGGGCACCAAGTACCTCTTATGGCACTTACCGACATGTAAGATCGCGTGCCCACAAAAGAGTTGGCCATGGAATCAATCAATTGCCCGCTGACCCCAAAATCGCAGAGTTTGATTTCTCCTCTCGAGTTGACCAAGATATTTGAGGGCTTCACATCTGGAAGGAGAGGGGAGGAAGCGGGAGAAGAAGAAGTAAAAAAGGAGAATACTTCAAACTGTTTAGTTCTGGGACAGCCATTCCTTTTGGCAACGCATGCTAGATCATAAAATCCATCCCAGCTTTCCCTCTTGTAGTCACAGATCCACATTCAAATCATTAAATAAAAAACAGCTACCAGTTCACATGCAGGGGGTCCTCTCCACCTACATTTCAGCCCAGAATTTCTGTTGCTATGCGAGACAAGATAAGTTAGTTTTGCCCCAATTTACAACCATTCTAGCCAGAGTTATTAAATGAATCACTATAGCTGTTAAGTGAGTAACAGAAGTGAGAAGTAACAGATGGAACAGAATTGAATCTGGCTCCCCATTGACTCTGCCTGTCAGGTCGCAAAAGAGGATCACATCAATCTGGAACACTGCAACCGTCATAAATAGGAGTCAGTTGCCAAGGGTCTGAAATTTGAGCATGTGACCATGGGGGATGCTGCAATGGTTGTAAGTGTGAAAAAACGGTTTTATGGCTCCCTTTTTTCAGTGCCGTTGTAACTTTGAGTGGTCACTAAGTGAGAACTGTTGTAAGTCAAGGACTTGCCTGTATAGAAAGGGATAAACGAGATTCAAATGTTAACCTCACACAGAATCGTCTGTGGGTTTATGCAGAATCAACAGAAAACAGCGTGACTGTCAGATCCGTCTATCTGCCATTCTTCAATGGAAGAAGAAGTGGGGGGAAGTTGGTGCAAGTAATGCTTACAGTGATGTTCTCCGCTCTTTTTTTATAAATTTTATTAAGTCTTCAAATTTTAAAAACATTAAATAAAACTTTATACATTGTTATCAACATCAAGACATCTTTTGCATCTCCTTACATTTTTCAGTATATGTATTTACTTATTCCTTTACCATTACATCTTACTCTTGCTGTAAATCAATACCTTTTATCCTAACACATCAATCTTCTCCATGGTATATTGATATGTTTACATATTCCCTCATTCTTTTCTTAATTGCCATTTTATTTCCTTTTTATTTCTAAACCACTCATACCAGGCATACCTGGCCCTATAGTAAATTGAATCTTCTGTCTTTTATTTTCATCGTGTCCATCTCTATACAATCTATTATTTTTTTTATAACCATGCCTTCTGGTGGAACCCCTTTTTTCTTTCCAGAGTTGTGCGTACGAAATCCCTGCAGCTGTTAATACGCGTAACATGATGTATCTATCTGTTTTATTGCATTTTTGTGTTATTATAATTAATAAAAAAGTTTCCGGATTAAGTTCAATTTTCTGATTCGTGATTTCTTCTATCCATTGTCTAATTATATTCCAATATTTTTTCCACTTCCTGGCATGTCCACCAGGTATCGAAATAAGTCCCTTTTTCTTTTCCACATTTCCAGCAATTTGGGTCTGAGTTAAACATTTTTGCCAGTCTAGCGGGGGGAAGGTGCCAACTGTAGAAAATTTTGTATTGATTTTCCCTGTATGCTGTAGATGTAATTAGTTTGTAATTTAGTCCCCACATTCTCTCCCAATTTTCCAGGTCTATATTATGGCCAACATTTTTTGCCCATACCACCATCGGTCTCTTTGACCACCTCCTCTTCCATTTTAAAATCTAGTAGAAAATTATATATTCTTGAGATCATTTTCTTTTCCATTTCTTGTAGAATTTTATCTAATTGATGCTTTTCCATGCAGAAACCAAATTGTTCTCTGTCCTTTTTGTATCTCGCCTGAATTTGCATGTATGTCCACCAATCTATCTTTATATTTTGTTGCTGTAGTTCTTGTCTCGTTTTTAATCTTCCTTGTGTGTCTAATAAGTCTTTATAATTCCTCTTTTTCCCCCAGTTCCATTGCGTTTGGGTAGATTTGTGCTTCCATAGTTGACAACCAGTTTGGCATTTTAGTATAATGATTCTTTTTAATCTTGTTCCATGTCCGAATTAATGAATCTCTAATCATGTGTCTCTGAAAATATGCATGTTGTTGACATTTCCCATCCCATAGGAAACTATGCCACCCTCTCTGCAAGTTGTGACCCTCTATCGACAATACTCTTCGACTCTCCAGGTTGATCCAATCTTTAATCCATACCATAGCCTCAGTCTGGTAATAAATTTCCCAGTCAGGGAGTCCAAAGCCACCCCTTTCTCTTTTGTCCTGTAACAATTTCATTTTTATCCTGTCCCAAACAAATTTACTTATTATTCGATCTAACTCTCTAAAAAAGGGTTTATCCAATCTTATTGGTGCAGTTTGAAAAAGATATAGTAATCTCTTGTTGTCAATTGTTGTCTCTTTTCTGCTCTGCTAGTAATCCGTCCAAATCGTAGAAATTTTAAGTTTTTATTCACAGTCTCGATCTTTTCTTCTGCGGTGCTCTCTCTCAGCCATCAAACTGTTCTTTTCCAACGGCTTCCTCCTCTCCCTTTCATTCTGCTATCCCCCACCAATTCGCCACTGTATTCACTCTCCCCAAAGATTCCCTCTGTCAAGAATCTTTCACAGGAATCTCTTCTTTCACCCCTCAAAAACTGTCCCAGTCTGCCGTTCTTCTTCTGATGTCTTGCGTTGATCCACTTTCCTGCTTCCCGATCGCAGCTGGCTGTCGTGGCTTCGGACCCGCCACAGGTGCCGAGTTTGTTTCACGCCGGATTCAAAGGGTTTCCCCTCTTGGCAACAGGAGGTTGCTTCCCTCCACTCTGTTCCTAGGTTTCCCCTTCAGATTTGTGTGTCCCTCCGAGCTTCACATGATGCCTCTGAGAGCTTCCTAGCACAAAAATTCGGATACAGGATTGCAGAGATCGCTCTCCTGCTGCTCCGCTCCACCGTGACCTCACCACCGGAAGTCGACGTTCTCTGCTATTCAGTGATGGCTGGTAGCCTGCTACCCATGTGGATTTTGCAGTGGACTTCAATTCCCAGAATTCTCCAGCCAGCTATGAATTCTGGGATTTGAAGTCCACAAGTCTTACAGTTGCCCAACTTTGGAGACCTCTGGGAATGGAGAAGATGTATGGAACTCGTGTAGAGGCACAGGAACAGCCACCGAAAGACATTAAAGGATATGGAGAAAAGTACAGCCCTAAAATGATTGGAAACAGATTTGGGGTTTTTGAAAGCCAGTAAGTTCTTTCCCATTCTAAAGGCTACTGGATTAAATAGATGATCCTACCTCACTCTATTACATAGCCCCCACTTTAGGACAAAGAATAACAGAGTTGGAAGGGACCTTGGAGGTCTTCTAAATCCAGCGTCCTGCTCAAACAGGAGAACTTATACTATTTCAGATGTCATTGTCTAGTAGTCCCTTCTTGAAAACCTCCAGTGATGGAGCATCCATGATTTCTGGTGGCAAGACGTTCCACGGGTTAATTGTCCTCCCTGTTAGGAAGTTCCTCCTTAATTCCAGGTTGCTTCTCTCCTGGATTAGTTTCCCTCCGTTGTTTCTTGTCCTGCCCTCTGGGGCTTTGCACCTGTGGGCATAAGGCTGCCTGTATGCCAAAACTCAGTTGTTGGTGGTACCCAAAAAATGACAGCACGCGCTGTCTCGCAGGAATATATCCAGAATCTCTACAAGCCACTGTTTTGGAACAAGCCAGGATGCACCTTTCCCTAGGTCTCCTGCTCATCTGAATGGACTTCTTCTACCTGAAGTAAATCAGCAGCCAGAATCTTCTCCCTGTATAGCATCTCGAGCATCTTTGGAGAACCACTGGATTGCCAGGCAGGTGAGGGACATGCTGGGATGCGCCTCTTCTCCGCAGGAAGGCTGCTGGTAACCAGGCAACCGCTTCTCCACCAAGACTTGCAAGGAGCCCCTTTCCACCCCCCCCTCCCGTGGGCGAAGGACACCACTCAGCACAGCACTTAGCCAGCCATTAGCCCTGCATTAGGGCTCCCAGAGAAAGGAAGCCCACCTGCGATTCATCCCACCGGGGCAGGGAGAAAGGGGGAGGGGCCCGGGTTCAAGGAAAGCCGGCATCAAGCAGTGGGAAAGAGCTGCTGGCGGCTTCAACTTGAGGACGCTAAGTGCCTTAAAAACCACAGGAACAGATAGGTAGATAGAAGGTATATAGAAGATATCAAAGATAGATAGATATAAAGTCAGACAGACATAGATATAGCTACACAGACAGACACATAGATAGAAGATAGGATAGATAGAAGATAGATTGATAGAAGAGATAGAACAGACAGATAGATGATACATACATACATACATACAGACAGACATACATACATACAGACAGACATAGAGATAGATAGATAGATAATATAGGATAGATAGAAGATAAGAGACATACAGATAGATATAGAGATATAGATATAGATACACAGACATAGATAGATATAGACAGACAAGAACCATAGATAGATAGATATAGATAGAAAATAGAAGATAGGATAGATAGAATACAAAAGATAGTTAGAAGATAGATATAGAGACATAGATATATAGACAGAGACATAGATATATAGATAGACAGACAGACATAGATAGATGATATAGAATAGATAGAGAGATAGAGAGACATAGAGAGATAGATATAGATAGATAGAAAATAGAAGATAGGATAGATAGAAGATAGTAGATAGATATAGACATAGATGATATAGAAGATAGAGACACAGATGGATGTAGAGACTTAGATATAGATACACACAGATAGACAGAGACATAGATAAGATAGATATAGATAGATAGACAGACAGACAGACAGACAGATAGATAATAAATAAATCCATCCATCCATCCATCCCTGGGCTGTGGTTTCACCTCTCCTTACCTACCCCTAAAAAAAGGCCATTCAGAGCAATGGGGGATTCGTAGAGCAGTTGGTTGTGTTTCATTTAGGCTTAGCATCTTGTGAGACCCTCACAGGGGATCCTAGATCAACTCCCCCCCCCCGCCTTTTCCCTGAATTTTTGGAGGTAAAAAACAAAACAAACGCAAACGGGGAGGATAGCGAAGTGGCCGCTTGAAGAGCAGGTGTGTGCCTTTGAAAGAGCATGGAAAGGCTGGGAGAGAAGAGCAGAAAAGAGCTTTGAAGTTTTCATGGTCTCTGGCACACAGCGACCTCCGGTTCTGGCAAGCGGCTTCTCACAGCTTGGTTGGGTCTCATTTTTCTCAGCTGCGTTTCTGTCTTGTATTTTCTCGGAACTCAGGTATTGATTTCCGTTACCTGAGCGTCCAGTAAGGACCGGCAGGAACAAGCCAGTGGATGTGAGAATATCGAGTGGATTGACTTTGTGCAGGTGGCATGATTCGGCCCCGGGGGAGCTGTGACCAGCTGGGGCACGACACTCCCCCTTCCTGCTTCCCTGCAGGAAGCTAACACTAAGTGGCAAACTTCACACCATACATGCATCCTGGGTAGAACATGGTCCGAAAAGCCTCTAAGATGAAGCTTTTTCAGTCCTCTCAAATTACAGCTAGTCCTCGACTAGTCCATAATGGAGCCCCAAATTTCTGTTGCTATAGAGAGATAGTTAAGTGGGTTTTGTCCCATTTTACGACCTACCTTACCGCAATTAAGTGAACAACAGCCGTTAATAGATAACAGATAATCAGAGTTAGAAGGGACCTTGTAGGCCATCTAGTCCAACCCCCTGCCCAAGCCTACACCATTTCTGACAGAGGGCAGTCCAGTCTCTTCTTGAAAGCCTCCAGGGATGAAGCTCCCACAACTTCCGAAGGCAACTTCTGTTCCTTGGGTTGATTGTTCTCCCCGTCAGAAAATCCCTCCTTATTTCCAGGTTGAATTTCCCTGTGGTCAGTTTCCATCCATTATTCCTTGTCTGGCCTTCAGGTGCTTTGGAGAACAGCTTGACTATGGCAGCCCCTCAAATATCAGGAGACTGCTATCATGTCTCCCCTGGTCCTTCTCTTCACTCAACTAGCCAAGCCCAGTTCCTGCAACCATTCATTGTATGTTTTGGTCTCCAGTCCCCTCATCATCCTGGTTGCTCTTCTCTGCACTCTTCCTAGAGTCTCAACCTCTTTTTTATAGTGTGGTGACCAAAACTGGATGCAGTACTCTAGGTGTGGTCTTACTAAGGCTTTATAGAGTGATATTAGTACCTCCCTTGATCTTGATTGTATCCCTCCGTTAATGCAACTTAGGATTGCATTGGCTTTTTTGGCTGCTGCTGCACAACATCGGCTCCTATTTAGCTGGTTGTCCACTAAGACTCCAGTTACTGCTATTAAGCCTGGTTTCACCCAGTCTATATGTGTACTTTTGGTTTTTCTTGCCAAAGAGGAAGACTTCACTTTTCTCTACACTTAATTTCATTTTGTTAAATATGGCCCAGTGTTCAAATCTGTCAAGATCCATCTGGAATTTGAGCCTAGCTTCTACGGTGTTGGCTATTCTGCCAGTTTAGTATCATCATCTGCAAATTTTGTAAGTTCCCCTTCTATTCCCTCATCTAAGTCGTTAATAAAGATATTGAAGAGTCCTGGGCCTAAGAGGGAACCTTGCGGCACCCCACTGCTTACTTGTAGACGTAGACCCGTTAAGGACTACTCGTTCAGTACGATGTGTCCGCCGTTGATCATTTAGTAACATTATTGACTAAATATTATTTAGTTGTTAAGTGAATCTGACTTCCCCCTGGGTTTTGCTTCTCAGAAGGTGGCAGAAGGGGACTGCAGCAACGGTCATAAGTATGAACCGATCGCTGAACTTCTGAATTTTGATCACATGATCCTAGGGATGCTACAAAGGTTGTCGGTGTGAAAAATGGCCACTTTTTTCAGGGCTGGGTTGTCACTGTGAAGGGTCATTAAATGAAGAATTGCAAGTCGAGGACTTACGTGTACAGGTAGTCCTTGACTTACGACTGGCTGTTTAACAACCATTCGAAGTTACACCCAACTTTTTAAAAAGTACATACAACCTGTTCTCAAAGTTACGACTTCTGTGCCCCTCCCAAAGTCACGTGGTTGCTTTTCGGGCACATGGCACATTTACAACAGGGTCCTGCAATGATCTGACCATGGTTTGCGGTATTTTTTGTCATTTCCCGGCAGAAAATGGCAAAAAAACCCCGCCCATTAGGCCATGCCGGATCCACTTAAGGACCAAGTGCTTCACTCAACGACCATAGGGGAATTGTTTGGCAACAATTGTACAGACAATCATAAAACTGAGTCTGGTTACATGAAAAGTCGAACGATGACAATACCTTATGACTGAAATTCTGGGTTCATTTGGTCATAAGTCAAGGACTACTTTTATTCCCCAGTTTTCAAGACAGGGGAATGCAGCAGCCGTGATGGACCGCTTCCCAGGGTGATTTGCAAGGGGAGGGGTGTGTGTATGTGGAGTGGGAGGGATGTCAGGTCCTTTGGGGTCCTTTTTTCAAGAGGCAACTGGACTTTCTGGTTTTTCTTTGAAGACATTTTGCTTCTCATCCCAGAAGCTTCTTCAGCTCTGACTGGATGGTGGGGAAGGGAAGGATGGATACTCCTTGCAGGCAGCTGGTCATTTGCATCCTTTTAGGGGGTCATTGAGGCCACTTGGAGGTTTATCTGTATCTTCGGGGTCACCTGAGTGGTGTAAATGGCTGTGGAGCCTTCTTGCAGCTGCTGAAAGGACTGTGTTGTAGACTGGAGGTAGATGATGTTGTACCCCACCACCCACCCCCGTTGAGGGAGGGCTGTTCAATTTTGACATAGATGGCCTCTTTGTTCCCTCTGTCAAACCACCAGTCCTCTCTGTCCAAAATATGGACTTTGTTATCTTCAAAAGAGTGGCCTGTGACTTTTAAATGCGGCTGTCTCCAAAGGACATCAATCCTTCCATTCCCCACCATCCAGTCAGAGCCGAAGAAGCTTCTTGGAGGAGAAGTGAAACATCTTCAAAAGAAGAAACCAGAAAGTCCAGTTGCCTTTTGAAAAAAGCACCCTGAGGACACAGACAAACCTCCAAGTGGCCTTAACAACTCTTTTAAAAAAGATGCAAATGACCAGCAAGGAGTATCAATCCTTCTGTTCCCCACCAACCATCCAGTCAGAGCTGAAGAAGCTTCTTGGAGGAGAAGCAAAACGTCTTCAAAAGAAAAAAAACAAGAAAGTCCAATTGCCTCCTGAAAAAGCACCCTGGATGACTTGAGAATCTCCACAGACCTCTGGGATAGAGTTTCAGTTTTGTAGTCACAGCTGCAATCTTGATTTTCTTGACATTTCTATCTCCCACCTACTCGCAATTTTAGCAAAACATGGGCAAGTGAAGAAAATCTGGCTGCATTGAGGCCAGGAAACATAAACCACCTACCTCTGTGCATGATCTTATGCTTTTCTCTCAAATATGTTAGACCTTTTATAACCTGTGGATCAAAAGAAGGCGCTCATTGCAACAAGCAGACAACAACGATCAACATGCAACTGGATAAACTTCAAAGGAACGTAACCATATTCTACTTTAATAGAAGGGGGGGGGGAACCCCCCAGCCTAACAGATATCCTGCTCCAGTTGACTGTTCTTCAGAAATTTTTATGACCGTGCCAGGCTTCAAACACAAGTTCAGACCTGGATCTCTTTAAAGCAGCCACCTCTTTGCTGCGGACGACACAGCTGCCCTCCACAAACTTGGAAATTGCTTTTTGCAACTGAATCTAAAGCACTTGCACAGCTAAGGATTCTAAGGTTGGATTATATGAATCTGGAATCCTAAGACAAACTATCCAAGTTAACTTCTTCGTAGAATCTTCCAGTTTGATGCAGGCACACCCAGGTACCCCTCTTATCATTTTCTCCAAGCCCACTATTTTTATAAAAAGAAAACATTGTTCATTGTTCATTTTCATGAGGCAGGTCAATATTTCTCAACTTTGTCAAGTTTAAGATGCGTCGATTTTGATTCCCAGAATTCTGGGACTCGAAGTCCATGCATCTTAAAGCTGACAAGGTTGAGGGAAAGCGAGTTGTCTTAAAATTTTAGGAAAATTGGGAAACCATTTTTTTTTTGTTTCAGCCAATTATGACAGATGGAAAGCAGAAAAAGAGAAACATAAAGAACATCTTTTCCACTTATTTTTTTCTGTTTTTCTCTCTACGTGACCCCAATCCACACTGTGTGCCAAGGAATGGAGAGCTGTCGTTAAACACCATTGGGTTCGACTTCTGGCAATAGCAGCCGCAAATGTTCGCCCATCTGGGTTGGTCTTTCGTAATAACTCACAGCTCTTCCAAAGACAAGTGAGTCATTTCTTTGCGAGAGAGGCAGGACCCAGCAAATGTGTTCCGGGGATGGAGGCATAAAACAGAAGCTGCTACATGATTTACAAGGCTTGGGGGTGGGTGGGTGGGTGGGTGGGTGGGGGAAGGGAACATCCCTGATATTGCCTCTTGCACAGTTGTCAGCCTTATTTGAGGCCTTCAGTTCGAAAGGAAAAGAAAGACAGAAGAAAAAGGAAGAAAGGAGGAGGTGGTGGAAGGAAGAAGAGAGAGAGGAGGAAGGAAAAAGGAGGAGAGGAGGAGCAAAGAAGGGAGAAGGAAGAAAGGAGGAAGAAGGTAGGAGGATGAAAGAAGAAGAAAGGAAGAAGAGGAGGAAAGAAGGGAGGTGGAGGATGAAGGGGAAGGAAAAGGGGAGAAGAAAGGAAGGAGGGAGGCAGGGAGGAGGAGTAAGGATAGGGGGAAAAGGAAGAAGAAAGGAGAATGAAGAAGAAAGGGAGGAGGAGGAAAAGGAAAGAGGGTAGAGGAGGAGAAGGAGAAGGAAGGAAGAAAGAAAGGAGGAAAGGAAAAGGGAGAAGAAAGGAGGAGGAGGAAGAATTCCACGTCTCTTTGCCTTAAAGATGTTCTCAGCACTCTCTCCCTGCTGGACATGTACTTACCGCAATGCTGACTTTGCCGAGAATCTTCTCCGGAATTCTGCCAGCCTTCTTCAAGACTTGATCCAAGGATCCGCCATCCTATTAAGAAACGTTCAAGCAAAGGAAGGAAAATGGAGGGAGGGAGGAAGGAAAATAGGGATGGATGGATGAGGAAAGAAGGAAAATGGAGAGAGGAAGGAAGGGAAATAGTAGGATGGAGGGAGGGATAAGGAAGGAAGGAAAATAGAGAAAGGGATGGACGGACGGACGGAGGGAGGGTGGAACGTCTAACTCTGCTCCCCCAACCAACCTCCCCGAGCCCTTGAGGACAAAGCACCACAGGGTCCCAAGCAGCCCCCCCCCCAAGCGAAGAGGGCCACTTACCATGTGCTCCATGCAAATGCTAATCTCGCCGTCACTGTAGAAGGCTCCGTAAAACCCCACGATGTAGGGGGAGTTGCATTCGTGCAGGACTTGCAGCTCCCGGATGATCTGGTTGCGGATGGCTGGCTTGATCTCGAGATGAATCAACTGCCAAAAGAAGCCGTCGCTGTGGGTCGCCCCTCCGGTGCCTTCCATCACTTCAAGGGCCCAGCCCACCCTGCTGGCCGCAGCCAAGGACTCGAGGGAGCTAAAGCAGAGGGTCAGGCCTCGGACCCCAGCCTCCTTTGGATCTTTAATGAGCTGGGCCCGCAAGCCGCCCCTCAAAGGTGCCCATTTAGCAAGGAAGAAGGCATTTCATCCAGTGGCGGGATTCAAATTTTTTTTTTACTACCGTTTCTGTGTGGTGAGCGTGGCAGGGGAAGGAGACTGCAAAGTCCCTATTTCCTCCTCACCCCACTAACCTGCTTTCCAGCTCCATTCTCCTGGGCAGGGCAACCAAAGAAGACCCAGCTGATCAGCTGGGACTTGGGAGGCGGAGAATAGATGGGGGCGGGGCCAGTCAGAGGTGGTATTGGCCAGTTCTCTGAACGACTCCAAATTTCCACTACCGGTTCTCTAGAACCGGTCAGAACCGGCTGAATACCACCTCTGATTTCACCGCTCCTTGCCTGGCTAAAGAGAGGAAGGCAAAATTCTAAGGCTGAATATTGGCAGTCCTCGACTTATGACCACAACTGTGACCGGTATTTCAGCCACCAAAAAAACCCGGAATCATTAAACAAGTCACCGTCTGGCCAGACCCAATTTTATGACAATTTTCCCCCACCCCCCAAGATCATTGAGTGAGTCACGTGGCTGTTAAATGAAACCAACGTGGTCATTAAGTGAACCCATCTTTCCCAGTTGGCTTTGTTTGTCCGAAGTCATCTGGGAAGGTCCCCAAATCGCATCCGTATGACCGAAGATACCGCAACCCTCATAGCTTTTAAATCTGGGTTGCAAGGACATGAATTGCAATCATGTGGCCGTTTGGGGTCGGTATAACAGTCCTGAACTTTTAAGGACAGGTTGTAAGTCACTTTGAAGGCTGACGTAACTTTGAACCGTCCTTCAATGAAGAGTGGTAAGTCGAGGACTACCTGTACTCAGGAGTGGGCTTCGAAAAGTTTAGCAAATGGTTTTCTCTGTCCGGTTGCTGGGTGGATGTGGCCATGGTGTGGCTCAGCCCCTCCCCACAGCCCATTTTTACTCCCAGGGAGCTGCAGGGAGGCCTACTAGGCCCAAAACAGAGCATGGAGGTGTGCAGCGCCACCCCCAGGCCAGTTTTGGCTCCCAGGAGGATTTGCAGGAGGCCACGTGCTGCCGGTCACACCCCCTGGTCACGCCTGCCACGGCCACCCACCCGGTCATTAGGGCAGAGAACCGGTTGTTCAATTATTGGAATCCCACCACTGGTCAGAACACTGATAACTGGGGGTACGCCTTGTCCCCCTCTGATGAAGGACTTCTGCAAATGGCGGCCGATTGAATTAAACCACGGTTCTGCAAATGGCTCCGTGAGATGCAGGAACTTAAAGCCAGTCACCAAACTCACCTTCCGGGCCATGATGAGTCCAGAAGGCTTGTGTGAGACTTTGAAGACCACGCCACCGTTGCCGGCGCCCAGTTCGCTGATCTTCTCGAAGTCATCGTCCTTCAGTTCCCCCACTTTTTGCTTCTGGGTTAAAAAGGCCTCCAGCCGTTTCCGCTGCTGCTCGTCCAGTTCCAACTCCTCCAATTTTTTCTGCAGGGCTTCCAAATTGGTCCTGTGGGGCCCAGGTGGGAGAAGGGAGAAACTCCTATTAAAATTACAGGAGCCGTCTCTCTCTCTCTCTCTCTCTCTCTCTCTCTCTCAAGATACAGAAAACTTGCACGTAAGGAAAGAGGAAGATTCTTGATGCACATTAGAGCAGGGGCCTCCCATCTTGGCAACTTGGAATTCTGGGAATTGAAGTCCACAAGCCTTAAAGTTGCCAAGGTTGGAGACCCCTGCGTTAGAGCAAAGTTGCCTGGTTGTTTCTGCTGTCACTCACTACCCTTACCGATTGTTATAGCGTCTGTGTCTTGCCTTTTCTTTGCAAGCTCCCCTGTAAGAGGAGGAGGAGCGGCAGGACCTGGGGGGCGGAGTCAAAAGAGTAATCAGCCTAGCATCCCAACGTAGCTACAAGCAAGCCAAGTCCAATTCCTCTTCAAATTCTGTGGACCCTTATCTAACTCCAAGCAGGTGCAAACCGTGAGTTGAGAAGATTCTTGTGTCTAGGCTGTTTAGCAATAAATCAGTTTAACGAGACTTTCCTAGTTAGGTAGACCTGATCTTTTGTTCTCTCCTAGTTTTATTACCCAACCACCCTGTGAGTAAATTGGGCCATTATGCCCCTAGGCATCCCAGGAAGTGCTACCCTCTACTAAAGAAGAGGTGGAAGCTGCAAGTTCTTCAGATCCCACAATACACCTCCTGAGATTTTGCTGGGAAGGGAAGGATCAATTCCACTTTCACCTAATTGGTGTTTAGTGGCAGGCAGCCATTTTGTGACAGTGCTTGACTTCTGTTCTCAACGTTCCAGATAGGTTCCTATCTATACATGTGTATTTTTCCTGTGTCTGTTCCTCCCTGATGCACGGATGGAACACCTTAATGGGACACCCATCCAGCAGAAATAATATCAGCCACAGAAGCATAATTAATTAACTTTCAAACCGAAGAGGTTTTCCATCCTCTGGCGTTCATTGATTCAACACAGCTGCTTGTTCCCGGCGAGCAATCATTTATTTCCCCCACAGAAAATATTCTCAGATTCCATTTGCAGCAAGCAAGGTGGTACTTTCCATTCTGCGGAAACGTTTTAGAACAGAGGTCTCCAAACTTGACAACTTTAAGACTTGTGGACTTCCACTCCCAGAATTCTCCAGCTAGCTGGAGAATTCTGGAAGTCCACAAGTGTTAAAGTTGCCAAGTTTGGGGACCCCTGTTTTAGGCATTCAATGGAACCAATTTGCAAGCTGTTATGCAACCACTCACACTTTGCATGGATGCTCCTCACTTGTTCATTACTCTCCTCTCAACAAAAATAGAGTAAACAGGTTCAAAAGAAGAAGACCTGAGATGCTACTCCTTTTGTTCTAAAGGTCCATCATCTAGATCATTCCCCCTCCCCGCAAATGTAGCAACCTTAAGGTACGATGACTTTATTTCCCAGAATTCCATGATGGCTGGGAAATTCTGGAAGTTGAAGTCCACACATCTTAAAGTTGCTAAGGCTAACAAACACTGTCTTAGCTCCTTTCAAGGTTCCTGCAAATGGTTCCTGAATGTGAACAGACTCCTTATTTTTAAGCCGAGAGGTGTTAAAAAGTGATTGTCTTCTTCCTTCGCAGCGGATTCTTCCAGCAATGAAAGCAGCTGCTACGGGTATTTTGGGGTCTTCAGCGAAGCACATTTAATGAATTCAGGAAAGCCAACTGCCACTTTTGAACCTTGCTAATCAAAAGACAGAGAAATGAGAGATGACGCCAACTGTTAGCCTAACACTTTCTGCCTTGCATTTTGCAGATGTTGTCCAATTCTCACCATTAAGCAGGGCTCCTGGAGGTGGCAAATTGCCTATGAGAAATCCAGCAGGAAAATCCAGCAACAAACGATTTGCAAACCCAGTGTGGCACGCCGTCAGCAACAGATTTGTGGGACCAGTAACTTTTAAAACAGCAAGAAATCACTTTTCATGCTCACAACGATATGGGTTTTGGTTAGAACACAGCTACAGAACATTGCAATTTTCACAGAATGGATGTTTAAATTCTCCTTTGGGGGAGGAAAAAAAAAAGAAGCAAAAATCAATCACTTTGAAGTCATTAAAACAAAAAGAAACCACGTGCCTTCAACCTCTACCTCACCAAGATTCCCTGGGCAGAAGATTTCCTGTCAGCTAAGACGGAGTCAGCTATACAAGTGGATCAGTTAACAGCAGCCAGCCAAGCAATTAATCTTTCTCACCAATCTGATCGGTTAGCAACAACCAACAAAGCAACAACCCTTTACTTGCTGACTTACTACTTCATTACTTCAATACTTATAACACTGATTACTTTATTACCTCAAAACTTATAACTTTTATTACTTCAAGACATATATCAATGATTAGATAATGATGTCTATAAAATAATTTCTCTATAATAATTTCTCTAAAATAATTTATCAATTGTTTGATTGTTTGATTGATTAGTGTGATTAGAGTGTCTAGTGCAAATAATGTGATTACCAATCTGTAATTTAATTGATTAGCAAGGTTAATTATTAGTGTAATTAATTGACCAGTGTGATTAGTGGTTACTGTAATTAATTGTTTAGGGTGATTGTTAATTAGTGAAATTACTTGACTAGCATGATTAATTAATTGATTGGTGCAATATTGTTATTGATCTTGTTTGATTGAACAATTTAATCAACGAACCATCTCAATAAAGCCACCATGCCAGGAAAAAAATCCAATGCCAAACCAGAAGCCCAAACGAAAGAAATCCCCACCAATGAACCACAAGACTCCTGCACATGCCTTATATGTAAAGAAACTTTAAAGGAGAATGAAAATTCCATCAAATGTTCCCTATGTGACAACTACACTCACCATGGTTGCTTGGGATTAGCCAACAAATGGCTCAATTCCTAGAATCATCCAACCATGTGTTTCCATATTTCTGTCCATTGTGCAGACCCAACCTGGACAAATATATTGCCTTGTTCGAAAGAGTTGATACCATAGAAACATGAATATCTTCCCTTGACACCATAGTAGAATCCCTGGACACTACAAAAACAAGATTAACTAACCTTGAAAAAAAAGACACAACACAAAAAAATGAACACCCAATAGCTACAAACCACACCACCCAACAACTGCAACCACAACCCAATCCACAAAAAACCACAAATCCTACAAATAATGATATCCCAATCCTCATCAAAGAAGCCATCGAGTGTGAACGGAAACGTCCCAATGCCATCTTATTTGGTCTAGAAGACAACAATGATAATGATGACATCACAAATGTCCGCAACATCATCAGTGGCTATCAAGCATCAAGCATCTCCCCTGATGAAATACTCGACATTTCCTGCATCGGCCCAGAGTTCAAAAACAGTGACGGCTTGTTGGCCCCACGCTTCTGCAGGGTTGTTTGCAAAAATGAATTAAGTAAAGGAAAATTCATTTACACTATAAACTCACTTGCCAAGAGCAACATCAACCATAAGAATCTCCATTCTCGTCCTGACCTAACCTTACAGCAATGTGTACGGTCCCGTGAACTACGCTCTGAACTCAAAAGACTACAGGAACAAGGAAATATTAACCTATACATTGACTACCGCACAGAATGTATCAAAAGCAAGACCTTCAACTTACATCCCAATAACCAACACCCCAACATCCAACATTAGGCATGCACGCCCCTTACTTCCTCCAGATCCACTACTACATATCTAAAATGCAAACTACTCAACGCAAGAAGCCTCACAAACAAAATGCATGAATTCCTTATCTTACTAAGCACAGCCACATTCAATATTATATTTGTTTGTGAGACGTGGCTGAATGCATCTTTTCCAGACTCCATTGCCACAGTCACAGAATATCTCGTTTATCGGTCAGATCGCTAAATCCATAGAGGAGGTGGAGTTGCTATCTTCTATAAAAAATCCCTAAATCTAAGAAAGATTCTAATTACACAAGAGCTTGCTCTTCCAGAGACCATCGTTTGTGAACTGTCCTTAAATACCACTATCCGCTTCTTACTAAGCTACAGAGCCCATGATTATGACATAGTTCATGCAAATGAACTAACTTAACTGCTGACGTGGGTTGCCTCTTGTCCACACCCTCTTATTTTCTTTGGTGACCTCAATCTACCTCTTATAAACTGGATCCTAAATGAATGTACATCCGAAGCCATACATGCAACTCTGTACAATGCTGTTACCACAGTGGGACTGGATCAATTAGTAACAAACAACACTAGAGTCAACAACTGCCTCGGCCTCATCTTCTGCAACAGCTCAAACTCAATTTATGGCCTACAAATACAAGAACCCTTTTCAAACAGTGACCACAGTATGATTGACTTTTGTCTCAATTTACGCCCTCACAAAGAAGATCATAATGATGGATCTCCAAAATACAATTTCAAAAAAGCCAACTCTGATCTCATAGATGCCGACCTATCATCTCTTGACTGGCACTTTCTGTTCTCTAACTGTAATACTACAGAAGACCATTATAATGCATTCTTACTTGAACTTGAAAGAGTCATTAAACTATATGTACCATTAGTAACCTAAAAACAAAAGAAACAAATTACCCATAACAATAAGGAAACTTCGATCAAAAAAAAAATCACTATGGCGTAAAAACAAAACTAACTACGTAGCAAACTTTAAAAACCGATACAATACCTTATGCCAACAGATAAAGGCAGAATGCACAAATTATTACTGCAAGGAGAAAAACCTCCTACGTACAAAATCTACCTGCGCCTTCTACAATTTTGTAAACTCCAAACTTAAAGACTCAAGAACCATCCCACCTCTAAAGGGACCAAATGGGAAAGACTGCAGCGACAAAGCTGTTAAGGCCAACCTCTTCAACACATTCTTCAGTTCAATCTTTGTAAACAGCAATGGTTCATGCCCCACATTTCCTAGTCGTACCACAACTAACTGCAATGATCTACTACATATTGACTTTACAGAAGATAATGTAGAAAAGGCACTATGAAACCTGAACCC